GGCCAATAGAGGTAAGGCAAAGAACCCCACCCCCCACTGGCACCAAGGCCAAATTTGGGGGCCAACAGAGGTGAGGCAAAGAACCTCATCCCCCCACTGGCACCAAGGCCAAATTTGGGGGCCAACAGAGGTGAGGCAAAGAACCTCACACCCCCACTGGTGCAAAGGCCAAATTTGGGGGCCAACAGAGGTGAGGCAAAGAGCCTCACCCCCCCCCCAACTGGTGCAAAGGCCTATCCACAAGTATGGCTGTATGCTGGACCAGTAGTCAATGATGGGTAAGATCCAATTGCAATGGTACCAACCTAAGACAGGAGGCTGACTCCCTGAGGTCAGCTCATCCGATGACGGGTAAGGACCATATGTAGTATTGGACAACCTAAGACAGGCACGGTCCCTAAGCCACATGCTTGTTGTTTAATTAAACAGAAGCGGGGGAGATGTTGAGAGCCATAGTTAAGGCAGAATGACACCTGGCATTTTGCCAGAGGGGATGGTTGAAAGGTGACCCTGCTCCGGGAATAGGGCAGCTCCTGGGATTAGGGTGGATCCTGCTGGGAATAGGGTGGCTCCAGGATTAGGGTGGATCCTGCTGCCTTGGGAGCCCGCTACTTTGGAGTTCCCGTTGAGTTCTCACAGGGTTCCGAGAGAATTGGCTCGCAGAGCCCGGTGGAGGGAGTGGATTCCTGGGAAGTATGTGTAGAGTGCCAGTGAAAGTTTGGGAATAAAGAGTTGCTGTTTGAACCTACAAGGCTTTGTGGCGGCTCGGTTATTTTGTGCCCAGCCAGACTGCAGCAAGCCTCTACCTCCGAGCAAAGCCTGTCCAAGGAAGGGGGCATGACCCTTGTCCTTGGAAAAACCCATAGAGTACTCCTAGGTGCCGCAGCGTGGCTGGGCACAAAATCACGAGCCACTCACAGCCTTGTAGATTCAAACAGCAACTCCCGAACTCTCACCAGCACTCTACACGCACGTTCTGGGGAAAATCCAATCCTCCGCTGGGCTCTGCATCCCAAAATACTCTCTGAATCCCTCGAGAACTCAATGGGAACTCAAGGAGCAGGCCAGCGCCTGAGGCAGCAGGATATGCCCTATTCCCAGCAGGGTCCACCTTAAACCTGGAACCACCCTAAACCCAAGGAGCGGGCACCTGAGGCAGCAGGATACTCCCTATTCCCAGCAGGATACCCCCTAAACCTGGACCCACCCTAATCCAGCAGGATCCTCCCTAAACCCGGATCCACCCTGATCCTTGAGCAGGGTCACCTTTCTCAAACATTCATGCAATGTCACTGCAAATGACCTGGATCCAAGGCAAGCCCATTTCCACAGTGGAGAGTCCTCCCTCTAAGCAACATTGGGTAGGCTGACAAAGAAATTGCCATGCATCATTCCTACTTGGCTATGGCTCTCAGCACCTAGGCACATACCCACCCTGCTGAATTGTATGTCTGCAAATAACAGGAGAGATCTGCAGCGCCAGGTGTCCTTGACTCAGTCAGGCTAGGTGAGGACCCATGGCAACCCCCTAGCAACCACCAATCAGCATGAGACAGGGAAAATACCTGGGATGCCAGATGACCCCTCAGTAGTTTATGGTGGTTGATAACGTGTTGGGAAACCATGTAGTTTAGCACGTACACCTCTCCTGGCTTAAACCAGTCAGTTCAAAGGAACCCCCTCTTGTACTAACCAATCACCCTTACCCAACTTGTTCCCGCCAGTGAATGTGCTAATCAATGTTAAGAGTTGTTGTTTGACTTTTCCCGTGGTGTGAAATGATTTGCTGTGTGATGTTGTGACACATAGAGTATCCCCCCAAACCTATAAACTGAACAAAGGGACAGGACTCACTCCCTGGGATTGCTGCATGGGAAATGGCTGTGAGTCCAGGCTTGAGCTTGCAATAAAGACTTTTGTGTGATTGCATCAGATTCTGCTCCTGGAGGTCTACTGGGGTCCCATGAATCTGGCATTACAACATTCTAGGGAGAGGTCCACAGTGCAACAGCACATAGTATCCAACAGAGGAAAGCAAACAAATCTGGGAGGTGAGGTGCAAAGGGAGGGCCATTCTGGGGTGTGCAGAGCCTGGGAGGTGGCTGTGACGATTTGGCTCTGACCCTGAAAGGATTTGAGTAGAGAAGGTATGACCTCAGGACCCCTTTGCTGCCATATGAGAACAGAGTGCAGTGGTGGTGGTGGTGGGGAGGTTGGGAGGGGAGTGCAGAGGTGACATAGTGATCCAGAGGCAATGGAGTTGGGGCCAAGGAGGGCAGCCGGGGCTAGCAGGAGGCTCTCACGTGAAGTTTGTCCTGAAGCAGGGCAGGCAGTGTTTGCTGGCAGAGTGAAGGGAGGTCAAGGGTGATAGATACCAGGGATTCGGATGTGAGCCTAAGTTTTCTCATTTGTAAAACAGATGGCCTAATTTGTGACATTGTGAGGACTCAATGAGTTAATGCATGTCAGGGATCTGGCCATGTTGGGAACCGAGAAGGAGCTCAACAAAGGGGTGGCCCACGGTCTGTGGGGCAGGGGGGAGCCACTTGCTTCTTGTTTTTGTGGGTCCCTTATTTCTGCAGCCTTGACCTGATCAATTCCAGTACATCCTCTTTCCTCCCTCAGGCAACCCCTCCTCAGAGAAGCATTTCCTGATTCCTCCACCCTTATTTCTCACCATTGTGGATCCTAGGCTCCTCCCTCACATCCCTAAACTTGATGTTCAGTGCTGTCCCTCCTGCAGAAAGAAAGCCCACAATGTTAGTGACAGATGCTCTGTCTATAACCGAATGTATGTGAGATCTTCTACCTTGTCTCCAAGTTTAAAATTCTCTGATCAGTGTCTGCCCCAGATTTCCATGGCCTTTCCCCTCTCTCCTCAGACCTGTCCCATAGACAAGTGTGGGTAGGGAGGTCGCCAGTGTAGGCCAATCTAGGTCTGGTAGGCATTGTCGAGGCTGTGCACTTGTTCAAAAAGGGCTCTTTCCTGCTTTGCCCTAGAGTCTTTCCCACTTGATACAAGAGCTTGCCTAGGTCTAAGATGTAGGAACTTCAGTGTAAATACAGTCCAAGCAACTGGGCACATCAATCATGTCCCACTTCTACTACAGCTGAACTCCTTAATATAATTTAATATGACAATCCTAAGTATGACACACTCTCCTGAAAACATTAAACCACTAAAAAGAATCAAGGCTACATGGGAAAATGCCTGGTTCCAGGTCTGGAACTCAGAGAGTACAATCTTGGAATGACTCAAGCCAGAAAGTGAGAAAATGCTTTAAAAAAATTATGACATTTTTAAAGGGTATGGAACCAACCTGGAGGAATTCTCCCACTGGCCAAATCTGCTGACATTTGAGTATCAGAGTAAGGCGAGTAATGTGTTGTAACCCACTGAGTAAAAAGAATTCATGGATCCGTATTGCTAATGAATGAATGAGAAGGAATAGTTTTCTTTCACTACAAAGGCAACTCATAATGAAGGATGGGCGGAATCAGAAAAACCACTAGTGTGTAATGATTTATTCATGTAAGAAATATCAATTCATGCTAAACTAAATGTTTGAGGAGTGACAGGATATTTGCAAGGTCTATCTTCTCCTGTGACACTAATCACAAAGGAAAAAGCCAGAGGCAATCAGGGATGCTGATCCATATCACGCGCCTTCCAAGGTGCACTGAGAACTAGCAACACCTCAGTGATGGTCCAAAATGCATGCCCTAATTTACCCATGAGGATATGTCAAGAGTGCACGTTACTGCTCCGCAATTCTTGCAAGGGTGGGATTGAAGAAGACCAAGGAAACCCGAGAACTGAATGCATATGGATCCTTCATGAGAAAAACAAAAGCTCTACAGGATGGTTCTGGGACCCTAGTGAAACTGAAGCATGGATTGTGCACCTATGTGCTGTGATTTTTATTGTTATAATTTCTTTCTAATTTGATTTTGAGGTTTCTTAAGAGTGACCATAAACCAAGGTAGACATGGCCACTTTCTAGTAGAGGGATGGAGGTGAGCGTAGTTAGCTTCAGGTGTTATATGTCAGGTGCGACAAAATGAGGAAGTGAAACGGATATCTGTTATGGGGTGTGTGTGGTGGGGCAGTTGTGGATTGGCTGGTTCAAAGAAAACGGGATGGGAGAATGAACCTATTTACATGACTCTGGGGTGGACCGCTAGGTTTGGGTTTTGTGGGGGTGCGCGACTATGGAGTATGTGGGAAAGTTTTGGGGACAGTGAGAAGAATTATAGCCATACCACACACAAGGAGGGTGAGTTTCATCTAGGCACAGATGAAGCATATGATGTAGCAAATAATTTAAGCCATGCCTGAAAATGGGTGCCAGGCAGAAACTCTATTAAACACATCTATGGCACTGTGCTCTCAGAATGTCTTCATCCCCATGAAACAAGCTTTGAAGGATTGGAGGTCACGAGAGGAAGCAGTGATTAGGTCAGGTTCCCTTGGACTCCCAGCGCCCTTAGGCGTCACCAGCAGCCTTCCACACTTGCACCCAAAGACGCCTGGACGAGCCGCCACACGGTCTCCAGGCTTTGATCACAAGCTGTACACTGACGCTCCTGGCGTCGAGAGCTGCCTTGCTCTTTATACCGCCGGGAACTCGAGCCTAGGGGTACTCCGCGCGGTCCACCAGAATCCACGAGTGTCCGCAGGAGCCGGTGCTAGTCCGCGACCTCGGCGGCGCGGGCCAATCACCGCCGGGGGCTGGGCAGGCGCGGGGCACGACGGGCCCTGTAGTAGGCGTGAGGACCGAACTGCAACCCCCACAATGCCCCGGGAGGTGTCGGCTTCGCGACGGCGCCGGAGGATCCGCCCCCGCAGGGCGCGGACCAATCAGGGCCGGGGACCGGGTGGACGCGGGGCACGACGGGTTATGTAGTCGGCACGGAGCAGGACTTCAGTCCCCAGTGTGCTCTGCGGACGGCGGGGAGGAGCAGTGCGGCGGCGCGGACGGCCGTCGGGGCTGGGCGGCGGCGGCGGCGGCGGCGGCGGCAGCTGAGGAGGGCCCGGTTGCGGGAGCCGCGGGGAGGACCGGTCTCGGCGCGCCGCCACCATGTCGGCGCCGTCGGAGGAGGAGGAGTATGCGCGGCTGGTGATGGAGGCGCAGCCCGAGTGGCTGCGCGCCGAGGTGAAGCGGTTGTCCCACGAACTGGCAGAGACCACGCGCGAGAAGATCCAGGCGGCCGAGTACGGGTTGGCGGTGCTGGAGGAGAAGCACCAGCTCAAGCTGCAGTTTGAGGAGCTCGAGGTGGACTATGAGGCCATCCGCAGCGAGATGGAGCAGCTCAAAGAGGTGAGCCACCGTCTGACTCTACGGCCACCCATGTCCCGCGACCCTGGTGGGCTGGGGCCTGTGGGGATAAGGTCATCCTGCCCAGCGGGGGTTGCCAGGGGTGTGGACGCGGGGGCACGGGGCCGAGAGCTGTGGTCCCGGGCGGGGTGTGGGAGTGGGCTTGGCTTCGGCCGGCTGCGGCTGCAGGGCGCCTTGCAGACTTCCTCGCTTGCCGGACTGCTTCTCTGCTGGCCTTGGCGGCGCCTTCGTAAGGGCTGATGCTTGCGGTTCTCGTCGCTGCCCTGGGTGTGTCTGTGGGTAGAGTGAGGGTGGGCTGGCAGAGACTGAGTCCAGGGCTAAGGCCACGGACGCAGGTGACCCGCTGGGCAAGACAGAGCCTGGGACTGGGTGGCCGCTGCTCTGTCACCTTCAAGCAAATCACTTCCCCTCTTTTAGCATGGTTGCTTTCGGTCCATTTCATCTCCTACTGTGAGTGTCCAGAGGCCGGGAAGGAGCCCCAGGGAGTCGGGGCTCTGGTTGTATATGGCCATTGCTGCAGGCTGGAGTCCCCCAGTGTCCTGTTCTGTGGCCCAGCGCTCTGTCCTCATCGCCGTGATTGAGCTTTCACTGCTTGGGATGCATGGCTCCCTCGCCCACTTCCTGTCCTTACCTCCCCCCTCAATGTGGTGTCTGTGTTCCTCCTGGACGGAAATCTAGGTGGCCTGTGTCATTCCCACTGAGGAGAAAGGAGGTTAGACCTCCAGGCTGACTGAGAGCTTGCAGGAGGGGGCGGAAGGAGGGGCCTGGGCAGTTCTCCTGGGATGGTTTAATTACCAGTGCCTCTCCCATCCTCCCTGACTCCTCAGCCCTGTAGTGGAGGTTGACGAGAGAGAATGAACTTTCTGGATGGATACAGTCCACATTGGACCCGGGAACTACACCGTGCTAGTGATGATTGTGGGTAGGGGCACTCCCTGATGACCTTCCTCCTCTGCAAAATGGGGTGCAGCATTGCTGGTTCAGAAGGGGTTATTTTGAGGGTTGTGTGTTTCCAAAGACTTGGTGTGGGGTCAGGCAACCAGTTTATTTGATGTGTCCCCTTCCCCATCTGAACCCATCCTGATCTTGGCTCTTGATCACAGGGCTCACCTCCTGGCACTTCTGCTTCTAGCCAACATTGGGCAGATGGACTCTATGAAGGCTTTTTTTTTTTTTTTTTTTGGCCTTCTGGGGGAGATAAATAGGATACCTGTCTGTGATAGTGGAGAGGAGGAAATGAATTAATCTTTAAATCAAAGCAGAAATACAGCAAGTTCTGGGTTAGTACCAGAAAACTCCTGCCCCTGTGGGCAGGTGGGAATCTGGGTCCTTGGACGAGATCTTGAGGACTTGACCCTGTTGTTTGTCAGAAAGTACTGTCACCTTCTCCAAGCCAGGCCCCACTGGCATTGGATCCACAAGGGGTGGGATGTAGTCCCTCATGTAAAGGTCCCTCATCTTGAGTTAGGAGGATATGACAGAGGAAGGCCAGGGACTGTGAGAATGTGGCTTGAATGCTTTCATCCTATTTCTGGGGGATTCTGCTCCTCTGACACCTACTGAGGATGTCCTTGCATTCATTTCTTGAGCAGAGGACTCTTGGGGGCTGTGAGGCTGTGGCAGACGAAGATCTTTTGTGGACCCATTGCCTACCCGCCCCCTGCCAGGTCTGCAGCACTATCAGAGCACTCTTCCCTCTGCGCACACAGTGTGTGTGAACCCCTGCTAGGCAGCCCCCGCAGTCCCCTTGTGTGATAACAGCTTTCCTTCAGTGGTATCCACTGTGAGAAGAAACTGTTGCTGACTTGACTCGTCCCCATTTCCCGGCCTTCAATTTGTTAGCTCTTCGCTATTATGGACATAATCATTTTTGGCACAGTGAAGAATCATGGCATAATGTTGTGGCATGTAGCTGGAGGGCAAGTCCCTAGCAGAATGGGGAAAAGGGCGTAAACCATTTCTGAGGTGCTCTTTAGGTGTCTTGCTCTTTAGGAAGCTTAATTTAATGTCATCTCTTGTCTCCTCTACAGACTGGCCACATGGCCCTGGACAAATTGCTCCTCTCACTTTTGTAAGCTGGAATAGGGGTTTCTGCTTAAAAGTCCTACTAGAGTGTAGAGAGTGTGCATCAATTTCAGCAGATGTTGCCAAAATTTTGTTTATAGTTTGCCTCCCATGAATATTGTGCCTTTTCTGCACATCCATGCCAGCACAGGTTCTTGCTAACATGTTTGATTTTGGTCAGTATGGAAACATCAGGTTTTGTTTTAAAAGTCAGGATTTCAGGAGGTAATATTTGTGAAGGATTTTCTCCCATAGACAGGTGAACCATCTTAGTTATTTCTTAAAATAAAGTGAGTGTAATTACTAATAAATTATTCTACAAATAGAATTACTTATGCTTCTCTGRTATTTCTAGATAAAACAATCTTTGAGGGAAGGAAGCTGGCTGACTGGTCCCAAGTGAGTGGATTTATGACCAAAGTGGAGGAGAGACCTATGGTGGGTGAATGGAGTCAGGGCTGGCCTGCTGCCTTTCTCCCTGGGGGATGTCTGTGACCTCATGTTGGCTGGGGCTGGAGGTAGGGAGGCCACCCATGGCCCATTTTGCTGATGATTTTTTGAGTTTGACTCAATAAAGGCCACATCTTCTCTAGATTATACTATGCCCTCTCGCCTTCCCCAGCATGGTGTGGAGGAGAATTAGATGGGCTTTGGTCAGCCTCATGGTGTTGGTGGTGTTGGTGGTCCTGAGTGGCCATGGAATATCTTGTACTGTATCCTCAGCTGCAGCTTCCAGGGGAGAGAGGTGTTGGGCTGATGGGCATGGCAGGTACTCTAGGTGAATGGGCTGAGTTCAGGTGCTCTGTGGTTCTCATCAGAGAGGAGACTGTGTTGGGAGAGGAATAAGAACAGTCTTGGCTCCACCTGAGGTTGGGCTCCATGTGTAGGTCTGGATGCCCTCACTGTCTTGCACCACCTGAAATAGTGCTGAGCACTAGAGTGTCACCACCCTTGTCTCTGAGGTGTGCTGGGTGGAATTGCGTGTCAGACTGGGCATGGCACCTGGCATGAAGCAAGTGCTTTGTCAGCCTCTCCCCCACCTCACTCATGCCTCCATTTCATTTTAGTACCTGCAGCTCCTCCCTATTCCTGTCAGTTGTGAGTGGTTTCTTTCGCTGCCTCCTGAAGGCCATCCTGTGTGTCATGCCCTGCCAGTTCGTGGGACCACCCTGTTTCTCCCTGTGYTCCTGCTCACCCTTCCTCCTGGAAGTCCCACCCACCCTTCAACCTTGGACATTTCTTTCTGGGAGCTCCTCTGGCTGCCGCCTTCTGGACTTGCCTGAGCCTCTGTTCCCAGTGTTTGGGCTACTGGAGGTGGAAGGGTGACAGGGGAATTAGCAGAGGTTCCACCCAACATCCATCCTTTGGTGTCCTCAACAGAGAGTTACTGGAAGTGAGCCCAACCTCCTGAAGCAGGAAAAGTTTTGTTTTGGTTAAGGCAGGTGGGCGATTCTCCAGCTCCTCTGATACCTACTGAGACTGTCCTTGCATTCATTTCTTGAGCAGAGGACTCTTGGGGACTGAGAGGCTGTGGGAGACCTGAGGATCTTTTGTGATGACAGTGATCAGCTGTCTGCATGAAGAAGCCTGTCTTGAGGTGGAAGCTGGTATCCTGTGAATCCTTGAGGCACTGAAAGTGACCCTGTTCCCAGGATCTAACAGTTGGGAAGACGTAGCTACAGACCTCCAAAGATGATGGCCAAGTGTTTCCATTCTTGTCACTGACTGCCTGGGCTTCCTTTCCAGCCACTGAATCTGGGGCAGAGGTCTTGAAGGAATCTTAAAGTAACCTTCACATTTAAAAATGTCTGAGACTTCCAAATCAGGCCCTGGTACTGTTTTCTGTAGGGCTGGGGACTAGGCACCTGCGTCCAGTAGAGAATCTCCCCCAGGCATGTGGATGGCGGCTGTAGGCCAGCCCTGCCAGCATGTGGAGGCGTGGCCTTGGCCACCTTCCACTGGAAGTGCGGCTGGCACAGCTGTGTTGGAGCAGGCTGTCTTTAGGGATGCCAAGCATGCTTTGAGGCTTAACAGGTGGGGCCAGAGGGAGGGCCAGACCCAGTGCTGGGAGCTGGGAGCCCTTGGGGAGCCAGGCATTGTCTGGGCAGGAGAGGAAGCTAATTGAATGTGGTTGTGTCCAGCCCTATGGTTTTCTTACTCTGAGGCCAAGGGTAGAGTTTGGACCCTGCCTGGCGATCAAAAAGTTTGCTGCCCTGGATGAGCCACTGTGCTTGTCTGGGCCACAGTAGGTTAATAATGCCACAGCCTGGCACTCTGAATGAACACTTGGGCTTTCACTGTTTTTCCCTTGGGTCTGAGCACCCAACTTCCACAAGAGCCGTGGCCCAGGTTTGCGTGGGATTCCTGTTGAGCCTCCCTTATCCCTGGGCCAGCTCAGACCCTCCTTTGAGGGTGGAGGTGAATTTTGTCTTTGTCAGTTTGGGGCAGCACCCATCATTCACACCTGCACCTTTACATTACAATGGACTGGAGGATGTGCTTTGCCCATGAGGGTATAGAAGGGCTTGGTTTCTTCTTAGATAATCCAAGAGGTGCCACCTGTAGGCAGGGCTGGCCAGGACTGTGCTGGCTCAGACAGGCAAAGTGTTGGCTTAAACCCTGTGTTGTCTGTTCAGTGTTCAGTGTGGCTCCTTGAGCCAACCCCCAGAGCGGGAAGGGGCAAGGTGAATGGCCCAGCTGCCTCCTCAAGATCCAGTCCCAGGTCTCATGCCCAGCCAGCTGTAGGAGGTGGATGGAGAGACGAGGGCCTCCCTGCTCAGGTGGATGTGAACATCTAGGAAGACTGGGGACCAGCTTCATTTTTAGAAGTTACTGTGTTTAAAAAATTGTACGTCTTAGGAACTTTAGAATGTAGAGCAGAGCAGTGTGGCACCCTGTAGGACCTGTGCAGATATGCG